ATAGCTCTTTGAAGCCTCCTTGGATACCTTGCCTCATAAAATGTTCCATTCAAGCCCTTTGTTCTCATCTACAAGATACTACCTTATCTTATGGCATTTAAGTCTTTTTCCTGCCTTCCCATGCTTTTTTGCTCCATCTGTATCTATTGCTTGAGGTGAAGTACACTTGCTGTGGCCTCTTCCTGTCCTGCATCACATCCCCTTCCATGTTCTCTTCATCTATTATTGCTTCTGTCTTTATCCCGTATTGCCTCTGTTACTGTGAAGTAATCCTCTTTTTGTCACCCTGCTCCTCTTTCTCCTTCAAAACTCCTTTTTTCCCCTCCATTTTTACAGTTCCTTTTGTCTCATAACCTCTCTTTTATATTATCTCCTTCACAATCTTATGGATCTCTTGGACTGAGTTCTCTGAAGCATGGAAGGTGATTTGTTCTTTATTTATAAATTACTGCTTTCTAATCGTGTGTGGTTCTGAGTAACAATAGCTCTGCCTCCACAAATTCCAGTCCTGTCACTTTTGGGCAGTAAAGGAATCTGCATCACTATCTCTTATACTACTTCTACTTACTCCCATCCTACTACTCCTAGACTCTTATACTACTACAAAAACTACTGTGTACGTAGTATTGATGTTAGCTGTTAAATAGACGTTGTGTTTCATTCCGGAGAGGTCCACAGCCTAGCGGCGGGCCATGAGATTTTTGTGCAGTGAGGCCATAAAGTGCTCTAGATCTTTTAGGATGAGGCTGCTAGAGAAACACAAACAGCACTGGTATAAACAGAAGGCTTGGAAGTTAGTATGCTATCTGGCAATTGTGTGGGAAGGGCATAGGGGGCAACAGTAACTTTGTCCCTCTTGATTAATAACACTGTGATTTCAGGTGATAAATCTCCCTGGTACAGGATTATGAGAGACATGCTGGTGTTCAAGGTCAGCCTGTATCTCCCTCTCACTCAATCATTTCTTTTTCCCTTCCCACCCTCCTCCATACCCCCTCCATACTCTCAGAACTTTCACTATAAAGGCAGTAGGATGAGGCGGCTGGGGACTCTATTTCTGCATTCTGAAAGACATTCAGGAGAAGGGAATAGAGGCAGAAAGAGACAGGGAAAAGGGCGAGACCTGAGACAGAACTAGGAAAAGGAGGGAGAAAGATAGATGGCTGACTGGAGAAGAGACCCGTCTTGGGTGAGACTTCTAACTTCTATTCCTTTCTTCTTATTATTTGAGACCCTGCTTTGGGCTGTAGCTGTAGTTCCATGCATCAGGAAGGTGTTCTGCTTGAAGAAGGCACAATGGAAACAGCACTTTGGAGTCCCTCTAGGGACTCTAATATGTAAATAAGGAACTGCTGTATAAGCAGGTGCAATACCTTTTCTTTTGTGTGCTGTGGGGCAATCTAGAAACTGTCCTACTGAGTCCTTTGCATCTTTTGTGAGCCCTTTCAAGAGGTTTAGGTGCACCTGTGGGGTTGTGAGAAGTCATATCTACAGGGAGGTCCGTGTTTGTGACTAGCACAAAGATGATTATTACATCTTCCTCTGTCTTTCATGTTCATCTAAAATGAGACTTTTGTGCTGGTCTCCTGAATTCACTGGTAACCTCCCAAGCAACAGCAATAACATCTTGCTGTATCCTGCCAGAATGGCAAGTGCTAAGTCTTGGTAGCTGAAAGGAGGCAGGGCAGAGAGCAGGATGGATGGGCAATAGGAAAGATATAGAGAGAGAAATTATGGCAAGAAATTATAGAAAACATGAAAGAGGAGATCTGAAAACACTTGTGCAGCCGTAGTGCAGAAAGGCAGATGTGTGCAGTTGTACTCAGGATTCTCTGTGCTTTTGGTACTGTGCTGGTCTGAAAGTATGGATAAGACAATAGGTAAAGCTGGAGTAGTACCTTTCATTAGACCAGCTGTGCCAGCTGGATAAAGTACACAAGCTGTTGGCCCTACAAGTTCGTCTTTGAGTCTGAAATAGAAGTAGCATATCTCAAAGCTAAATAAAAGTTGAAAATAGTTGCTTTGAATTTAACTGGATTAGTATCAGTAAGGCTATCTGTGACAGAAGGTTGTTGGTACATTGTGGAATAGAGGATGTTAATAGCACCAAGAGAGATAAAGTGCTTACTTTTAGGGGAAAGAGAGGAAGGGGTGATTTATAATCTGTGGAACATGATAATATTAGTGTGCAGGAGATAAGTAATAATATGTCAGAAAGCAAATAACTCAACAGATGATAGCATATATTTTGTCATTCACTGAAACTGTGAATTTCATTTCTTAGTCTTAGCCTTGGAAGATAATGTCTAAATAGAGAGATCAGAGGTGGAGAGACTCTCTGATGAGAAGTGCTCTCCCATGGGAAGTTAGATAAGTGTCAGGTCCTTAGCTGCACATGTAGGAGTGTAAATATAAACCACTGTGTTCATAATGATCGCTCAGGTTCATCTGCATAGTTATCAGTCTACCACTTGGTGCACTGGATGAGGTGTATTACACTACAGAAAGGACAAGTGAGGGTACATAGGATTTGTGGGTTGTCTTTCTCATGATGATAGCAAAGGTTTCTTGTTCTAGTAGCATCTACAGCCATTTGGTGAATGCTGAGCCTTGGGGTCCTTCATGTTCTTAGTGATTAGTTGAGTGAGGCTGCGACCTGTTTGGAGGCTGAGAGGGGCAGTACTGGAAAATATCTTTCAAGATAGGATCGTCTTATTTTAGGATATAATTATATAAAGATTTTCCTTGGGAATTCCACAATAGGATCGTATGGGACAGACAGTAGTCCTTAGTTAGCTGGCAATGGGAGGTTCTTTTTCTACTGAAGCAATTTCTTATATGCTATTCATGTGCCTCTTGAAAAATGAGAGCTCTAAGAGTGCCCTTTGAGTAAAGCTTCTCTTTAGTTTACTGAGGTGGATGTGATTAGTGTTCTCTTCCAGTGAGAAGAGACTGGAGATAAGTGATAGTGACTGAGGATCTGGTGTTATATTGCAGTGTTGATACTTCCTGGGGTTTAGAATGGTTGGTCTTTAGGTTTTCCATATATGGTATACAGTTATAGTCTATACACTTTTTTCTATACTATATACACTATATAGTATATGCTATACACCATTTTTTATGTAAGCCACAGTGTCTTGATAAGTGACATTAGTCTTCCAAAAGCATCTTAATAGGTTGGGAATGGTTAATGATTTTGTGATAGAAATCAGCGAAGCTGTCCAGAATTTTGTCAGATAATAAAGATAATAGCTCGGTATCCTAGATACAGTTACTTAGAAACTCTTTTTTAAAGAGGTTCATGTCAGGTTTTGCCTACTGACAGGCCACAGTCTTCCTGGAAATATTGCTTATTGAAAGTAAAGTGGGTGCTGCTGAGAATGAAATAGATGAGCCTAAATGTTCAGGGCCGCCATTGATCTGGTTTTTGTAAGTTTTCAGAGTTTGCCTGACATGCCATGTGATGTGGGCTATTAGTGGACAGGCTAACAATATCCATAGTGACCATAAAGAAGTTGGTGGGGAGGTGAGGAGGTGGTTTATGGAGAAAATCAAGTACATCTTCCTCTTGAAGACTTTCTTTGTAACCTGCGCTGGAGGATCAGGTGGAGTGAGAGAAAGCAAGAGGCATCTCCAGGAAAACTGTCACAGGAGTCTGCGAAATGGAACACTTTGGAGAGACTACATGCTATGTGGCTGCTGTGTTGGACTAATGAGAGGATGTTTTGCCTCTTTCTCCCATCTTGCCTATAAATCTCTTAGCTCGCAGTATGAAAGTCTTGGGATCCATTATTCTGGAGAGAGGATAGTTTCTGCAACAGGAAGAAGGAGTTAACAGCAACTCTTTTGTGTTTGTGCCTGGGGCATGTGTGGGGGTCTTACTTTTTTGCAAACAGTTCCTAGGATTTTGAATTCACTTCCCTTTGTTGATTAATAGCCGTCAAAAGGCATGCAATCACAGGTAGATCACTGACAGCACTGGGAGGTGTCTCTAGGCCATGTTGCTGGAACATGCTTCTCATTGCTATCACTGTTTGATAGTTCAATGGCCTTTGCTGAGCTCATTGTTTCTCACCAGGCTGGGAAACAAGTGGCAGATGGAGAGGGGAAGCTGTTGAGTGCTCTGGTCTGTGGAAAAGTGAGCATCAAGAAGAAGAAATTTCTGCATATACCCATAATTGATTACCCACAGAGCAGTCTGGTGACATTCTCTAAAAGTGTTCGTCGTAAGGACAAGTGGAAATGCTGGGACTGAGTAGTAATGTCCAGCAGTTTACAGAGATGCTGGAGTTCTGCCTTAGGACTTGCTGCTTTTGTGGACTGTGGACTTGAGATTTAGCAAAGGTGTCTTGGGACACTGGCTGTGCACCCTTGTTCTATCTCTCCATAGCAGCTGGCATTGCCATCTTTAGGACTGTTTCTCACTCTTTTGGAAGGCTAGTATCTCAGGAGAGAAAGAGGAAACCCCCTAAACTTTGTTCCCATAGCAAATATGGCTTGCTCAGGACAAGGGAGATGTGCTGAAAGAGATCTCCTGGAGAAGTACTCTTGCTTCCTTCTGTGTGTTTGTGACTATATTTCTAGCTCTCTCTTTCTTACTGCTGTATTTTCTCCCCCTCCCCCTTCCCTCTCCTTCAGGAGTGCTCCCTTGCACACACCTGATATTCAATCCTGGCGGAGTCAGTGCCTTTTGCTCAGATCAGATGTGGCACTGGGGAATCATGTGACAGAGGAAGGTTGCTATAAATATAGTTAAGCCCTGCAATCACTGCCTTTGGGCGGGAAGAGGAGAAAGTGAGAGACACAAGGAGGAGGAGGGGCAGAGAGAAAGTGTGTGCAGAACAGGACAAGTCAGAGTGGTGTGAGGAGAGAAAGAAAGGAGGAAGGGAGCAGAAGAAAGAGTGCACAGGCCATGCTCTAGGCCAGACCATGAGGTTCTAGGTAAGGTCTAGAGTAGCAGCTCTGTTACAGCTGAGCATGAGGAAAAGAGTAGAGGCATGGAGAGCTCAGAGCACAAGACGCAGGAATCCAGATCGAAGTCAGCCTTGTGGGGGGGCACACCGCAGTACGACTATGTCCGCTTTGAGAGATGCACCAGTTACGGGATACCTTTGGAGGCAGGACGCGAGGCCAGGGGGACAGGGGACGACCTGCACTGTCTGGAGAACTCTCTCAGCCACCCGCAGGTAGGGCTGGACAATGGGAACCTTTATGGCAGCACAGGTCTCTCATTGGGAACACATAGGCTTTTGGGGCTCCTAGGATGGTGCTGTAAAGTGCACACCCTGTCCATTCCCAATCCTTCCAAGTCTTCCCTTCTCTTCTTGGCTCTCAGGTCAGGCAATGACTTTCACAGTTGTACTTACATCCAGGAATACTACTGGCATTTCAAGTCAGGGGTTATTTCCATCTGCCATGGCTAAAAAGAGAGTTAGGATGGGCAAACTGGGATGGGGAATCAACCTATAATGTATTTGTAACATCAAAGGGAAACTGAGGCTGCCTTCACTACATTGTGATATTAAGTAGAGAAACAGAAGAATGAATAAAAACAGAGAGAACAGAGCTGTATAGATGGGTCTCCATCTGCACAGCTGCATAGACTAAGTCTTGCAGAGCTCCATTCTGACTTTTCCCTGACCAAAGAGCAATTCATGCTCATAGACCCATACATGTATGTTGATAGTTCTGGTAGCTCTTTTGGGAGGTGTAAGTGAGGGATTTTCTAACCCTTACACCTCACCTGACTCTTGCTCTGGTTCATACAAGCAGTGGTTGCAGGAAAAAAAATGTTGAGACACCAATGGACTCTAGCTATGGATCTTTTTCCCTTGTCCTCTGTATCTCCTCTGCCTCTCCCTTGGGACAGCCTTCTGCAAAGCGTGGGGGTGGGAGGGCAAGTTTGCATCAGAGATCTGGTGTCTTGTTTCTTACCACTCTGCTCAGACTAAGCTGACATAAAAGGGCATTATGACGATGAGGGAATTGGTCCAGTGATGAGAGAGAAAGAAAGAGAAACAGAGACAGACAGACAGAATATGTGAATGTGACATTCATACAGGCAAAATATAAGTGGAGGTTTCTTGAATTCCCTTTCACAAACGTTTAGGTGAATCATTGGGAGCGGAGGATGCATAATCTCTGAAAGAGTTTTGTGATTCAGTGATAGGAAAAAAGCACATTTGCCATAAAGAAAATCTCTTCTAGTAGATAAACGTCCCAATGGGGACCATGTATGCCACACTGCATGGATTTGGGAACCAGTCCCATGGTCACATTCAGGAATTTCTCTTATTTCTCTTCTGAAACTAAAACAACTGAGAGTTTGCAAATGTCTTCTACACTAAACTGTTCCAAAGCCATTCACTGGCTGATACTGGAAAGTATCTGGAAAGAGGGCTGACTTCAGTAGTTTATGCTATGTTTGCGCTAATATAAGGCAACGGTTTGGGTGCAGCAGCCACCCTGAGTGGATGAGTGCTGCAGGATGAGCATGGATGTGTGATGTGATGGAGAGGTGTTGAGGTCCTGCCAGTAAATGGGGTATGCTGGAATTCAGCACTTGAGGAAAAAGGATTTGGAGTGAGCAGAGCAGGGACAGTCGCTGTCACCTCACTCCTTTAAGAGTACCAGCACCACCCTTAGTGGCTACAGCCAGCAGTGGTGGCCCTCTGTACTCACTGCCATGGGTGGGGTGCCCAGGCTGGGGGATGCAACCCAAGGGCAGGAGGGTCTCAAGTGAGTGGCTGCTCTTGGAGAGGAAGTGTCCCATCTCCATTAGCCGTGCCTGAGTCTCTAGGTAGGTGTCCCAGCTCCACTGGGAGGATGGCACATGTCTGGCATGTGGGGTGCAAGTGGAGCAATGTCTAAGGCCTGAGGGTTGAGGCGAGATGCACCTTGTGTTACAGGGACCATTAGTGAGTTGTTTGAAAGAGGGCTGTGGGGTACAAATTGTTTTTCCAGTAAAGCACGTCCATGCACAAAATACCCCAATTTACATATATCGACTCCATATGACATTCCTAAATGCCTAAGATCACTCTCACAAGCAGACATAGATGACACAGCGAGGCAGTACAACCTAATTCTATGCTCTTGCTTCCTGGTACTAGGATGTCTTTGCATTCAGCTACAGAGGCATGCTGGTCACATGAATGTTGACAAACTCCTGTACAAAAAAAATGGGCCATCAGATGCATTCCCCATGCATATCTTCAACCAGTAATGTACCCAAACAAGCATGCATATGTGAACATGATTTGCAGTCTTGAACTCAGACGTACCTAGATTTACTGAAAACATGCCTTAGAAATATAGTTATGTAAACAATCACATACACATATATGAACAATATGTTTACATATATAGCCTTGTATGCAGACATTTTTCTGCAAAACCAGGCTAGCTGTGTGTAGATATATTTTGTTATGCATTTGTGCACAGGCAGTTGAAGCATAAATATGCATGCTAATGTACACATCTTGTACAAACATGTACACTTATGCTGTTTACATGGAAAATAATTTGCTGCACATGTTTTCATCCATTTCCATGCAGAGTAGCTCTTAAGATTTCTTTCCCCACCGTGATGTGTAAAAATACCTGGCAAGAGAGAGATTTTAGAACCCGTGGAGTTCTCAGACCATTGCCTGTTGTTCTAATAGCTATTGTATCGTTTTCTTGTGCTAGCTATGGTCTTCTGTTTTATATATAGGTTGGATCTGTGATTTGACCGAGTTTATACAGGACCCAGCACAGTGGAATCTTGGTCTTTGACCTTGGATCTTCTAGTAGATTTAGCAGATATTAAATAATAAAATAATAATAATATATGCAGATAATAATATATACATGATTACTGACAATTAAGATAACAGATTAGAGACATACAATAGATGCTAAAATACACATTGATAAAAATATACAAATTGGTTCATGGTAGGTTTGGGGATTTTTTTTCTTTCTACATCAGAAATATGAACCTTTTCTCAAGCAGCTCCAAGTGGTGAAGCATTTAGCATGTTATTCATGACTACAGAAAGGGTGTTTATGGCAGAGAGCTACCTTAGAAATGCACAGGTGTAGTGTGAGGGGCATGTAATGGGTAATTAAGTAGTGTATTATAGAATAACAGACTCATAGAAAGATTTAGGTGAGAAAAGACTTCTGGAGGTCTCTAGCCCTAACACCTGCTCGCAGCAGGGCTGACTCTAAAGCAAGATCAGGTTGTTCAGAGCCTCATCCAGGCAAGTCCTAAACATCTCCAATAGTGGTGATTCCCCAGCCCCTCTGGAAGCTGTGCAGCGCCAAACCACCCTTGGGAGGTGGCAATGCATAATCAGACATTCCCTTGTGCCTGTTTCCTCTTGTCCTTCACTGTGCTCCTCAGGAAAGACTGGCTCTGTTGTCAGAGCCTTTAGGTAGAGGGATCTGCCTTTAGGTAGAAGGATCTGATATTAGATTCCCCCCTTTGCCTTCTCTTCTTCAGCGAGAATTATTATTTGTTTTCTGTCCCATCCCACCCTAGCTCCTTGCAGGTGCCTCCTTGGATCAAGTGTACTCTTGAACTGCTTAGGTTCAAGCAGTTGAACCTAAACATGGTACAGATATTTAAATTTACATATGAAGTGGTTTTTTTTAGAGATCTTAACCTTGAGATCAAATATAGCTACTCTTTTGCTATCTGCCCATAAAGGACTAAGAAAAATCATTTCAGGAACAGCAGGATGGCCACAAGGCAGGGGTGAGATAAATGAGCAGTCTGTAGAGCCCAAAGCTGCCACAATGGCCGGGAGGAGCAGATTAGAAACAGTGTGCACCAGCAGTGCTGGGGGAAGGGAATTCAGCACTAGAGTATGCTGTGTAGAATATAGTGTTTAGTTTAGATGGCATGAGAAATAGCGTGGGCTTTGGGCTGAGAGGGGAGAGAAGTTTTATGCAGGTGTTGAGCACCACAATACCTCCCAGAAAAGTCTTGAGATCATGGTGGTATATATATTTTTCCTCTGAGATTCTGCACAGCTTTTCCTCCAGTAACTCAAACAACAAAACCTCTCATCTTTTTAGGAAGACACACCCTGCTGTTTTACAGTTCAACTTTAATAAATGTTTCCTCCCCGAAAATGAACTTTACCCAAGTCGTGCTTTCTCCCTGGATTGTTTTTTTGATTTTTCTCCTTAGCAATATTTTTACCTTCAGCTGCTTGTACACCATTGTTGTGTTCCCACTTACTCACCGTTTGGCCAAGCTAGACATAATATTATCTTTCTGGCTCATCCCTCTAGCTGATAATTGGTATCTACTAAGAGTCTCTCCTGTTTTTCCAGTGCTCAGAAACTCCGTGTTCCCTGTGTTAGAGAGGTAGCATCAGAAGAACAGAACCGTGTAAGCCTTATTGTGTTATATTTTTAGTTTTACTTGTCTTCTGATGGAATGGGTATTTCTGACCTAACCTAATTTTGCTAAAAGGTCATCTTCTGATTTCCAGATTCTTACTCTCTCCCACAATCTCCTACAACTTGAAATAGTGCCAGAGTCCAGAAGAAGCAAAGCACATGTATGAAATATTCTTTTAGTTGAGACTAACTTGTACTCCCAGAACAAAATCTTCATCTCAGACCTTCTTTGTGTCCTGAGACCAACTCCTTTTCTTCCACACCCTGAGTCAATCATTTTCCAGCCAAGCTGAATGAGTGAATTAGGATGCTGTACCAGGGCTTTTACCCTTTGTACTGTTATACTTTCATGCCCTCCCTTCTGAGAAAAAGGTGGAAGACTCTAATTTGAACTTCATATTTGGCATAGGTTTGAGTTTATAGTTTGAATTAAGTTGTATTTGATACAAACTCATCCCTCATGAGCATGTGATAGCGAATTAAACGTTAGCTGAGGTAATGTGAAGATGATATATCCAAAATCTGTTAATGGTTGGCATTGCTGGCTGAAGTAGGCATAGTGAGGGAAACAAGTTGCACAGTCTGCTGTTTAGGGCTGGATCTTATTTGTGACAGCCTATCTTGTATGTGAAATCTGTCAGGTCCTTCAACCTGATGTTTCACTGTCTTATTCTGTATTATGGGGATCAGAGAATGGCCATTCCTCACTACTGAGAGTCTGCATTGCTTACTTTGGTGCTTGTAGTGATAGAAATGATAGAGCTAATAAATACATTAAAATCTTTCAGTTTCCAGTACAGTCATAAGTAGAAGAATACTTTCAGATAGATATTCAGATAAGATAAATCTGTTTAAGGGATAGCAGGGAAGCCACCTAGAGGTGTATTCTAGGAACAAACTATTGTGCACGGAACAAATGTCAGTTGATGAATATATGCAAATAAATAAACTGCTTAGGACCTTCAGTCATATTTGCTATCTGGAGATATGAACTGATTCAGCACTGGAACAGGTGCTCAGAGAAGCTGGGGAATCTTTGCCCTTGGAGATGTTTAGAACTTCCCTGGGCAAGATCCTGAGCTGCCTGATCTAGTTTTGGGGTTAACATGCTATGAGCAGGGAATTGGACTAGAGACCTCCAGAGGTGCCTCCGGCTTAAATCCTTCCATGAGTCTCTGAATCCATTTGATCCCAAATCCTCTCTCAGGTCAGCTGCATTAACCCCGTTCTGCAGTTGATGTCTGAGATCATGGAAATCTCAAGGGAACATGAGGAACATGTCCTCTGTCACTTAGAAAGGAGATTAAGCAAAGCTGTCAAATATAAGCATCTCGTAAACACATGTAGTAATACTTCATATACCTCAATTGTCTATGAGTGTCTAGTTTTGCTGATCTGAGCATCACTCGCTCTCCTCCTCCCATCACTCAGAAAATCTTAGAGAAGCAGATTTGTTCTGGGGAGGAAGTAAAGGGTCACATTCTGGCAGCTGTGAAGTGCTAAGACCACAGGCCATGCATCAGATGGGAACTACGAACTCAAAGGTATTTCACTGAAGGGCATGTGATGAAGAGAGGCTTATTCTGAGTTTCTCAAACAAACACCTCCCCCACCTGTTCCCTGAAGGAAGGAGGTGCTCCTGAGGGAATCTGATAAATGAAGAAGTGGGCATAGTCAGGATCCTTCAAGCGTCCTTGAGATCTCTTTGTTGAAGAGAAGGCACAGCTGCCAAGTTTGCTGCAGATCCATGTGCAAAATGTCATTCATGTTCCTTAGTAAGCTCATGTAGCCACGTGTGAATTGCATGTGACCAATTGCATTTCAAGATTAATATCTGATGACAGTGAGTAGATTAGGTAGAAAGTAATTTCGGAGGAGCTGGGCATATATGCACGCTTAGGAGGATGATTTGGATAAATAATGGGAGGTAGTGTGCAATACCCTCTGATAACTCTGCGCTGATGCTACTTCTTTTCCACTGGCTACACCATCCATGGCTGCATGCCTTGTTAAGCATTCCTTGGCAGCAGGATGAACGCTTGCAGGCCACTCCTGCAGCCTGTTTAGTAGAGTGATACCTTGCTAAATCTTCAAAGATGTTTGACAGTGTTGCCACAGCGTATGAGAAAGCCCAGAGGGTGGCAGCCTCATGTCAGCCTTCTTTTGTATCTCCAGAGAGCCTGTTTAATCTTTTTTCTTCAGACTTGAGCCTGTTCTGACTCTTTCTGAGGATATTAGAAAGTGATCAGCATTCTGCGATCATAGCTTGTACTCTCAAAAAGGAAATGCAAAGATTTAGGAGAGATAGGGAGCAGGGCAAACCCCAACCCTAGGCATTTTTTCAAAAACTAGGAGTTAGCCAGACCCATTTACAAATACGTTGTAGGTACCTACGGTAGCCATAGTCATCTCCAAATTCCTAGACTAGTTGCCAATAGATGTTGGTCCATTAATAAGTCTGTGAGATCAGGGCCTGTAGAATAAATCAAGTTGTAAGATAATGTTAGAAGTTCTACATACAGTTCTAATTCCTGCAGCATTCTTTTAGGAGAAGAAATCCTGTATCCCTTCATTACTGTGCAAAATCTTATGGCATCAGTGACTGAGTAGTTTGGGAGGCATCACATAAATGTCAGTGGACATCTGCATCTTTTGAAAGGGGACATATATTTAACCATGAGAAGTTTCATATGCCTTTAGTACATCTGATATTTCAAATTCACCTATTTCCTTGCACCTCACTGTGTAGTATCTGACCTTCTTTTAGCACTCCCACCTTGCACCGCCAGCTAGAACAAACTAGATTAGCTAATGACTTGTACAGAAATCACATCTCCCTGGTAGTGGGTTAGGAACTGCCTGGTCATGCTGAAGATGGTGATACTTGAGTAGGGCAGGCATGCTTAAAGGAGGATTGCATTGTATCCCTCAGAGACAAAGATACTTACTGTTTGAATCCCAAATGAACCTAGTTGAGAAGAAGGAGGATAAACAGTTTCACTGTTGCAAGAAGGTATCTCATCTTGGCCTGTGTAATTAAACCCATCCGGCTTTTTCTCCTCTCCTTCCTTTTTTTTTTTTTTTTGATCACATGATTAAATTCTGCCTAAGATCCTTTAGCAATCTGACCCAGAGAAACCTATGTGGCTTTTTACAGAGAGAGCTTTCAGAACAGGGCTGTACTCTGTTTCAAGAGAGAATGTAGCTTTAATGTCATTGTTAAAGTCAGGGTACAGAGAAGGCTGGATGGTACTGATACTCTGATACAGAGAGAAGAGAGGTCACACTGTTACAGATATTTGTTGTCCCAAATAAATACCCAGATTCTCTTCAGAAATTAATGTTAGCTGTGCATGACAAAAGTTTGGGAAGCTCAGTCAGACGGTCTGTCTGAGACCTGAATTTGTGTATAGGAGAGCCTAAGGATCTTCTCCAGCCACTAGTGGTTGTGCTCTGTACAGTACGAATGCAGGGCAGCAGATTAGCTGTTGTGAATATAAACAAGACTGTCTCCTTTCACTGTGTTAGAACTAAAAAGGAAAAAGAAAGAAAAATGAATTACCTCTATCTAAGATTTTCTGTGTCTCTCTCTCACTGCCTGAGTATGCTTAAATCTGTACATCTTACTGTTAGCAGATCTGTCTTTTCATCTTTCATGCTGTTTGTGAAGGGATATTGGCTTTAACTTTTCATTTTGCTCTCTCTTGCTTTCTGCTCCTCTAGCTTTATGGCCAATATACAGACCAGATAACTGATTTTGCAGAGAAGGAAGCAGCAAAACTACTGAATAAGAAACAGTTCCAAAAGAACAACGGAAGACCCCTGAAACGTGACAGTCAAGTAGAGATCAAAGAAGAGCACTATTCCAAATGTCAAGGTAGGGACAGTTCATCTCTGCTTACCTTGAGATCAAACATTAGGTAGGCCAGCCAGAGAGATGGAACTTAAACAGGGCAAAAAGACAAGGAAGCTTTGACTGGGGAGAAGTGAAGAAGAAAGGAAAAGGAGTAACAGTGGATTGAAAAGACATCTCCAGGTCCCCTTTCACACTAAAAATATCTCAGATCTGTTTGGAAAAAAGCGGCAAGGTAATCTCACCTCCACAACAGATCTCTGTAACAGGATGAAAAGAACTTTCTTGTGTCAGATTTTTGCTGCTTGTGTCCGAGAGCACTTTTTTTGAAACTGCATAAGACTTTACAGGACTGCGTAAGACAGGAATGAATGCCAGTCCTCCAACGCTATGCCTAGAATTCTTCAAAATAAATTCTTACTGTTGTCAGTTCTCAGCACAGGAGAGGAGAGACAGACACAGGCTTCATCTGTATCCCTTCACTGTTTCTGGTTTACTCTTTCCTCAATAGACTGTGCTAAACGCATCCAGAAGTATGTTACCAAGAAGCTTGGAGAGGATTGGATTTTCCTGGTTCTGCTGGGTCTGGTCATGGCGCTGGTGAGCTGGGGAATGGATTATGCCAGTGCAAAGAGCCTACAGGGTGGGTCCCATTCAGATGCTGCAAAAACACATTGTAAATAAAATTAATGTTTTACAAAGCCTAGTGACCAAAATGTTGCTCCTCCTTTAATATCAGTGTCCCATCCTCACTCCATGTTGCCAGGGAAGTCTGAAGTACTTGTGGCATAGTAGAGAGGAGGTTAGCTAGGGCATAGCTCTTTAAAGGCATAGTAGGGAAAAATGTGGAAGGAAGTGGGCAGGGAGCAAAGGTTATGTGTGTGAATCAAAGATAAACCATTACTTTGGCTCCCTTTCCCTCCTGCTCCCTGGTATGTGAAGTGCCACAGAGAAGTGGTACTCTGTTCCTTCCTATTATACTGGTTCCCATCCTCCCCAGGTGTATGTGTCTACTTTCCCAAGATTGAGATGGAGGAGAGGGCACTAGCTGTTGATGGACCACTTTGTTTTGAACCAGGGCACACATAAGGCCCTCATGCTGCCCAGTGAAGCTCTCTCATTCAGTGATTCATCCCCACAACTACATGCAATGTACCTCTGCTAATACCACATTAGGACACAGCTATTAATACTGACTGCAAACAGAAGGCCATTTCTGTCCCTTCTGGCAGAACGCCTGTTTTATCTGGAAACCTGTACTCCAAGTCCATTACCCTGCTTCCCTTAGAAAACTAGGACCTTAGGATAGCATTGCTTCAAGGAGATTTAGTACGGGCAGGTTTAGCAAATATGTGATTCCTTGATGTTTACCAACCTGTTTGGAGCAGCTGCAGTTACTGACAACTTCTTTGCTTGTCTGTTAACAGCCTACAAGTGGATGTACAGAGAGCTGCACCCGAATGTCGCTATGCAGTATTTGGCATGGGTCACATACCCACTTGTTCTCATTCTGTTTGCGGCCGTTTTCTGCCACCTCGTCTCCCCACAGGCTGTTGGTGAGGGCAGAAGGCATGGAAAGAACTGTTTCTGTCTGTCTCTTTTTCTTGTTCAATTTGCCTGTTGATTGTTTCTTCATCCCCTGTTCTGTTGCCGTTTTCAGGATCTGGGATTCCAGAGCTGAAGACAATTATGAGGGGAGTGGTCCTCAAGGAATATCTCACTCTCAAAGCTTTTGTGGCCAAAGTTGTAGGCCTTACAGCTGGGCTTGGAAGTGGCATGCCCGTGGGGAAAGAGGTAAATGTTGCTATCTTCATGTGAAGTGGTTGCCAGGGTCTGGGAGGTGGGAGATATTGTCTGTGGAAGAAGAGTCTATAAATGTTTTCTTTCCTTTGTGATCATTTCTCTTCTCAAAGCTCTGTTCTTCCCAGCAACACTTATTCCCACTGGCCATTTTGCTTTCTCTTTGAAAGGCTTGATGTAGAAAAGATCAGCGACTTAAGTCAGGTAGTCTCTGAGAGGAAGAAAAAGAAGATTGAAGGAAAAGCTAGGATAGTCAAAGAAGCTGTGAGATCTGCAAAGACTAAATGGTCATCAGTGATAGAGGGTAACCCTCTCTCATTTTCTTCTGTTCTTCTCTTGCAGGGTCCTTTTGTGCATATTGCCAGCATCTGTGCTGCTGTACTCAGCAAGTTCATGTCAATTTTCTGTGGTGTGTATGAGGTAAGGCACATGTCTCTGCATACAGCTCTTCTACACCTTAGACTCCTAAGACACACTAGCTGACTCCTCCTGTGGAGGAAGGATACTATGGGTAGTCCACAAGATACAGAGGGAGCATACTGATTGAAGTTGATCATGCTGCCATAGAGCAGTAAATTATAAGCCAAAGTAAATGGTAGTGGGAGGCCAGATATACAGCCCCAGTAACTGTGTAGGACCAACCAAGTTTCTAACCTACTACATTACACAGAGGCTGGTTAGGAATATGGATTTGACAAGGTTTCTGTATCATGATGCGGAAACCTTTAGACTGCAGTCAATGTCTGTGTGAAAAGATTTCTTAAGTAGTTGTAGACAAAGATCAACTTGTCTTTAAACCAGAATGTGTAGAACATTGCTAATTATAGATAGTCTCCAGGCTTTTGCTGTTGCAGAGCAGCCTGTGTGGGGAGATCACTGTATTGACTAGTTGTATAAAAGGATCTATTAACTGTATACATAGCTATATGCAGTAACTGCTTTACATACAGGCTCCTAGCAGAAACTGGCTGTGCAATACAACAGTAGGAGGTGCTGTTGTACTTGAGTAGATCTTGTCTGTGCATAAACGACCAGTTCTCACCACTGGTGACCAGCTGACTGTACTAAAGACCATGCTAAAGCATGTAGAGGCTGCTATTTAGAATAGCAATAGTTGAATCTGCTACTGGCTGTTGCTTTGTTTCAGTGTTCTGGGTCCTAACCCCTTGGCTTTGCTCCCTCTAACCCCAGCATGCTCTTCTCTGGCTGCACTCTCTGTTCCAGAATGTGCACAGGCAGCTCGATCTCCTGGTGGCGGCTTGCGCAGTTGGAGTTGGATGTTGCTTCGGGGCTCCTCTTGGAGGCAAGTGTCTTCCTATATGTGACATTTAATGTACACCTCATTTAGCATCTCGCTGTGAGATCACCTGCTCTCAGGCAGGTTCTCCACAATTGTCTGTCCAGTTCCGTAACATCATGAACTACTTCTTTCCTGATGTAACTGGCAGCAATGGAAGAAAGAGAGCTTTATCCTGCAAACGCCAAGGAAAAGCAATACCTTTTAAGGTGCTGATTTCTAATGACGCAGTTTGTTCAGTCCCCGCCTGCCAGGGACATTGTTTAGTTTGAGAGTACCAAGGTCTGTCCACAAAATAATAAAGATTCAGTAGAGAACAGAAGCTAAAAAACACTTCACGTAAGGAGTGTGTCGCAAAAGGACTAAGTACCGAACCAGTTTAAAGGCATCGCTAAACAGTTTATTGAACCATAACAGACAACTGATTCGAGATGTTGGTATAGGTGTTCCTACTATTAACGAATGGATTTGATAACAAATAAGGTAATTAACTAGTAAACATAATTATCAAACTATTTACATATATCAACTATTTACATATATTTATATGTTATGGCACAAGGAAAAGAACAGAAACAAAATAACAGACAAAAGAAGGGTAACTAGCTACTCTCAAAAGAGAAAAGCAATAAAAAGCAAGGAAGCTATCACTTCCGTGATTTGAACAATCACAGTCCCCTTTAACAAAGAAGCTTTGCTTCTATAGATTGGACAATAACAGTCCAATAGGTGCACCAAAACACTCACACAACCATGTGGAGAGAGATTTAAATCCCACAGGAATTCCTCGGGTGGCATCCCAATCCAAGGGGAGTTCTGTCACTTCAGCAGACCAGCTGCATCCAATGAGGCAATCTCAACATTTGGAAACCCATGGCAGTTATTTATAGCCATGATCAAATTGGGGGTGTGGTCATAGTATTATGTGGTGGTTCTGGCAGATTCAGGAAGATTCTGGCACATTCTCCAATGTTCTTTGACGGACAGGTGCCACTTGCTCTGCTCACGTGGGATTTGATGGCTAGCTGTTTCTTCCACTCACTGTCCAGTCGCTAGGTGGAAAATCATCGGCCAACAGGTATACCTATTGAATTCTATGGGTGCCACCACAGAGTGACATAATTTAAGGTCATGAGATGATGGCAGTTATGACAGGAAGTGATAGCATGAATAGTGAACTACTCTATGTATACTTTTATCAATATACTTGGAGAAGAGAAAAATCTGTGTGTAATGTTTTGGGCTCCCTCGTGCAGGAGAGATGCAGAGGGCTAATAAGATGGTTGGCAGGTTGGAGCAATGATATGTGGAGAAAGGCTGAGGGAGCTGGGTTTGTTCAGCCTGGAGGAGAAAAGGCTAACGGGGGAGAGTCTATCTGCTATCTTCAACCATCTAAAGGAGGATTTTAGAGAAGCTGGAGTTAAACTCTTCTCAGAGGTGCACAGCTCAAGAGGCAATGGACACAGTTTGCAACCTGGGAAATTTGGACTGTGTATAAAGGAAAAATGTCCCTCTCCCCTGAGGCTAGGCTTAGAGGAGAGACCTCCAGAGGTCCCTTCTCACTTTTTTATTAGGTGTGATCTTACGGTGAGGAGAAATGTGGACATTTATCTCTCTCCTTTCTCATTTGTTCTAGTCTTCTGAGTCAGGGAGTTTTCTTAAACAGAGGCACATGGTAACTTCTGCATAAAACAATGAAAATGTATTCATAAATAACTAGTCTTAAAATGTTATTCTTTCTTTGTTATGCCCTCATTTCACTTTCCCTCCCATGGGCTACCCCTGAACCTCTCTCCTTGGTTATTGTGCCCAGAAGTTTAAGGAGTTTTTGAAATCCAATGTATTTTCTAGAATGGCTTTATTTCATCCATGCACTACTTTGATGTTAGTCTTGAAATGGATGAGTTAGATGCAACATAGTCTTGTCTTGCATCATGCTCATAGGAATAGTGACTTTGACACTGGTTTGCTATTTTAAAAAAGGAAGGGAAGTAGTTTGTCTGCTACAAATTAGAGGTTCCTCAACTGATGACCTGAAAAAAGACATGCCAGGAAGAAAATCAGGTTCAGCAAGAGAGGCTGAGAGTTGTGTGGGTGGGCAGTATAGCAGGCTGGAGACAGCCCAAGCTGAAGCCTCAAGCCTCAAGACAAAAGTTATAAGTCTGCCAAAAACCTTGAGAGAAAGCAGGTTGCAAACCAAGGAGTAGGCCATTGTTGGCTGGAATAATCAGTAGCGTACAGGAGAACAGGTTTCTCTCTTAATGGCAGAAAAACAATGCAAACCACTCCCCATAACACAGCCTAAAGTTCTGCTTCATTCTCTGTACCTGGAATTAACATAGGCTCAGAGATGGTGGGATACATTGCCTGCAGTTCACTAGGAGAGGCTAGAGAGTTGGAGAAGAAAAGAAAAAGTTAAAGGAGGAGTGGTCTAATTTCTGTCTTCCTCTAGATAAAGGAGAGGTTAGAGAGACACAACAGGGCCAAACTCTTCTCAGAGAACAGTGAAAGGACATGAGAATATGTGCAACATGGGAAATACTATGTATAAGGTAAAAATTCTACACTTCCCCCAGAGATGGTTCAGGATGGCACAGGTGCCCAGAGAGGCCGAGGAATCTCCACCCTTGGAGATGTTTAGGGCTTACCTGGACAAGATCCTGAGCAACCTGATCTAGCCTTCGAGTTAGCCCAGCTCTGAGCAAGGAGCTGGAGGAGAGACCTCCACAGCCTGAAACCTAAAACATGCTGTGAGTCTGTGATTCCATCGTAGCAGAGGAACTGGAAGTTATCACAGTTTTCATAGCCCTAGTTGTGTTCCTGTTATGGATTCCCACAAGCTTGCCAAATGTGATTTCCAATACTGGGAGACATGTAATCTTCAGTTTACCTTAGTCCTGGATGTGGCTTGCAAATTTATATCTCATACCACCCATGTTGTATGATTTTTTGGTATTATCACTGGTAAACATCAGCCTGTGTATTTACGAGGAGCCCTCAATAGGTTTGAAAAATCAGGTTAGTCCTTGGCAAGCAAACGGTGCACAAGCCTGCATTTTCTGAGGGTCCTCTAGTACTCTTTGTTTGGTTGGGTTTTTTTGTTTCAATCTCTCTAGATACTTCTATGCTGCTAGCAGTACCAGGGTACAAGCCAAGCTCATCCTCCATACTGCTTAAGTGTTTGTATATAATTCCTGGCCTGGCTTTGGCCTGTGCCAGTCAGCAGTCTGATACGGCGCCAGGTTATGGTCTGGGGAATGCCATGTGCCGGTGACAATTCTCAGTGGCCAGTACAGATAAGAATATACCATGCTTGGGTCTCTCAGTCTTACGTTGTTCTTATACAATCCCATCAGGCTTTGCACCCTCAACTCTACATATCTATTGCCACACTCCAGGCCGTGTAACACGTATTCTCAGTTTCAAGCTGTGAATCACTGTGCTGTCGACCTACAACACAAGCCTTACACTACTCTAAACACTTTGAATGGAAGCACCTGTCATGTCATTCCTTCTTACCCCCCACAAATGATTATGTCACAGGGGTACTACACAGTGCCCAGAGGAGACCCAAGAGAAAGCTGTGGATTTGGCCAGACTGTTTTGGGTCAGGGAATGGTCCCCAGTCCTTTTTTGTTGGGCTGTGCAGGCATAGCCTTGACACATCTCTTGGCTGAGGCTCCATCAAACACCTGCTCAGGTAAGTGGGACTTCATGGCCTTTGGCCATTAGACATCAGCCTGGCCATTTCTATTCCCACAGTAACACAAGACCACCTTTCTCAAAACTGCACTCTTTTGGGAGATCTAATAGGCTACCTTAGGCATGTGTGATAGCAGGAAGTACCAAATACACAGGCTTTAACTGTAGTGTTCTTTGTATTAGATACTACCTAAGATATAGACAACACAAAATGAAACCTATCTATCTGTTCCACTTTCCTAAGGCTCTTCACCATTCTTAGGCACTTTGGGGTCCTCAGGTGCTCTTCCAAATCTTGGAGGAAAAGTGGAAGGGGATTTTCTCCCTCTCAGCAGCTCTATGTCCTCCAAAGCAGTCTCAGGAGAGACTCTACCTTTCACAACATCTGTTTCACTTTAGTATCTTGATTACTTTCACCAAGAGAGTACAATATTTTACTACATGATCTGTTACCCACTTACCTACTCAGGATGGCTGAACCTACAGCAGCTGTCCACATTGAGTTCTGGATACGCATGTCCCTTGTGCATCCAAACTCAGAGATTTTTTTTTTTTTCTTTGAGGTACTCTCTGGCACATGTGCATCCTGAGATTCCCTGTCAAAGTAAGAGATGCAGCAAAACAAATATGCGGGTATCTAGCTTCCCAAGGATTTTCTATGAGACATTTCTTCAGTATTGACAGAAATGTGCATGTTTGAATGAAAGATAGGATGCTGCCTTCTCCACATGTCTTGAAGATGTGTTTGCAGGTATTTGCCTGTCTTGAGCCAAGTCTTTTGAATATTTCGAAGCCATCTAGGAGGGAGAAGCTAGATAAACATAGCTATAACTTTTAAGATTGGTGACAGAGCTGGATGACACCATATGACTATACCTGCTAATTCTGTTACTTACTCTTTCCTTTCTTTCCTTCTTTCTTCTGTCTGTTTGTCTCTCTTTGTCTCTTCCACCAGTAGCAGCCATATTATTACACGGATGTCCTGACTGTGGGTTGTGCTGTGGGGGTCGGCTGCTGCTTTGGGACACCACTTGGAGGCAAGTGGCTGTTCATTTTGCTTTCCTTTTTCTCAGGTACTTAAATCCTCTCCTGCCTACTTCTGTTCCCCTTTTCCCCTTTCCTGCACCCTGTTCTTGGTCTGTCACCTACCTTGAACAAAGAAACTTGCTTTTAATGTTTCTAGTCTCCCTAGCTTCTCTGATGCAGTCTTTCCTCCATATGTTGTCAGCCTTTTGCAGGCAAGAGGAGAAGACTCTTTAGAAGCTTGTCTAGGAGCCTTTCTCATGCTTCTGACGTTACACTTCTGATAGAATTTTAACTTTTCCCCCCTTGCAAACTCTCTGGTGTAGACACTATGACCACAGCAGGAAGATGACAGCAGGCTGGGATGTGAAGAGTGCTGGGGTTGCAAGTGACAAGTGACTACATCTCTGATTTTTCCAGGGGTCCTTTTCAGCATCGAGGTCACTTCCACTTACTTTGCTGTGCGCAATTATTGGAGAGGTTTCTTTGCAGCTACCTTTAGTGCCTTTATTTTCCGAGTCCTTGCTGTCTGGAACAAGGATGCAGGTAAGTTAAGAACCATTTCTACTCTCTTTGTGCCAGAGTTGCTCTGTTAATTTATTATTTCCCATCTTTCTCAAAGCCACAAACTTTTAGGCTGCTTGAAACTTCTGCCATCCCATATGACTTCCAGCAGTAGAAAAGGAAAGAGAAAGAGAAGCATCTTATGTCTAGCTTTCTAGGTGTACTGGGCATGACACCCAGAAATGACCGAATATGACTCCTCATCAAGTAAGAGGGCCTTTAAGGTGAGATTTTTACCTCTAGTCAACAAAATATCAGGGCTGCAAACCTAGAGGTATCACATCACAGAGAAGGTAGTATATACTACAGTGTGTGCTGCTCTGGTGCACTGGAAATGCCATGGTCAGGTTTGGTCATCTCTTGACTGGAAGCATAAAAAAACAATAAATAGTCTAGGAAATTGAGGTGGTAACATGATTAGGAGGCCACAAGATTAGTGGGATCTGAAGAAAAAGAAGACTGAAAGTTCCAAATGTACTTGCTTCATGGTAGCTCTGAAGGAAAAAATAACTATCCTCAGATAACTGAAAAGGGTAAGTGCAACTTCTGTGCAGACAGAAATAGCACAGAACAAGCCTGTTCAGGAGAGCATTTCAGATACTGTGGGAATGGAGTTCCAGCTGATGCAAGAGACTATCATTTCTTTGCAAACTTCTTGCTTATTATGCCCTTATCTTTTATTCTTCTACTTTTATCTGTTTTATTCATCTGAACTACATGTGGGCCCGTCCCTTACTTAAAAACTGCTATAATTTATGTCTATATTGACTTCACAAGGTTGGATTTCTCTATGCTAAAACATTCCTGTTTTGCTTGAATGTGCTCTTGAATCCATATATAGCAAATGACTACATCTTTGCCTGTGGAAACATTGCCTTATTGAGGGATATTCAGCCATCTCATCTGTCACAAAAACACACTTTCCAGAGAAAGATACAAGAAATGTGAAGACAAATGATAAGAGATAATCTCCTATCCTTCACTTCATCTACTCTAGTTCCTTCTCTGATCTCTCAAATCATTAGAAATTAGCTTAATCATGAAACATCAGACCTACTGTCTCTTCTTCAAAATCATCTTGACAGCTTTAATATCCATATTAATGACTCCTTACATTCTGCTCCAGTGACCGTCTGGGTTAAGAAATTCTGTGATTCAACTGTCTATGAAAAATATTTCCTTTTCATAGTTCTGAATTTGCTTTGTCTGTGTCGCCAGTCTCCTTGTCCTTGTATTAAGGAACTAGAAACTTTTGCCTAGACCAGTCATTTATTATTTTACGATCTTTTATCATGCCTGTTCTAACTTACTTCTCCTGTCTCTCCTTGCTCATATCCTTTCAGAAGTTACAAGCCCAGTCTTTTCAGTCTGTTTTCATGCAAGGGTTTTTCTTAGCCTCGCTCTCCGATGTCTTCATAATTTTTAGTTTTGACTACTCTCAGAAATGATGCACTCTGTAGATGAGCTGATGACTTTACGCTAGTTTCCTATGTGGACACTATTATCATATAGTAAGAATGCCTTTGTATGAGGTAAGTTAACGTACTTGAAAGTGGAAGAAACTGCTTCCCTTAGTGTGCACAATGTACATCTGCTTGTAATGTTCATACAGAGTATCTAAACTATTGCAAATTCATACATAATCTGTCAAGTAATTTTTATGCTTAGGCAAGCATTTGTCATCTTCTTCCAGAAAATTTTTGAAATAAAACGATCACAGTTGCAAGCAGATGAGATAAGCACTGATTTATTTGAAGGTATTACAATATTTTGTGCATTATGATCCCATATCTTACACAACATTTACACATTTCTAGCAGCTGCAGTTAAAAAAAGAGAAAAAAGACCTTCCTATTAGAGCTGTCTACACTGATCCAAATCTCTTTCTTGAAATGATATCATTAAATTAGATATTCTTTCATAATGTATCAATAATCTTCCCCTACTATGTGTATTACTTTGCATTCATCAACACAGAATGTTGCATTTCTTACAGTCTTTTCTCTGCTCCCAACCAGGCTAAACCAATTTAGTAACATGTACACGTTTTGCTATCTTCTGCAGAAAATTATTAATCATAGAATCACAGAAAGATTTAGGTTGGAAGAGATCCTTGGAGGTCTGCTGTCCAAACTGCTGCTTACAGCAGGCCAACTTTCCACTGCCTTTCTGGGCATCCGTGTCAGTGCTGAGCCATCCTCAAAAAAGGCATTATTTCCTTATATATAGTTAAAATTTCCTTGCTGCAAGTTGTACCCATTGCCTCTTGTCCTTTCACTGTGTTTTCTACAACTTTTCTGTTGGTAAAGGGATACTGCTATTAGAACCCTCCTTGGCCTTCTGATTTCCAAGCTGAATAGAGCTAGTTAGCCTTTTCATGTACATCATGTGCGCCATGTCCCTGACCATCTTGGGACCCTTCCCTGAACTCTCTCCAGTTTTGTTATATTTCTTTTGTACTGAGAGATCCAAAATGGATAAGATATTCTAGATAAGGCCTTATTACTGCCATATGGAGGGCAATAATCACCTCCCTCAATCTGCTTGTCGTGCTCTTGCTAATGGGCCACAAGGGTGAACACTGAACCAGCCTTCCCCTGCCCTCACCCCAGTCTTTTCTGAAGAGCTCTTTTATTCACTAGCTTCCCTGAGCTGGACTGATGCACTGCCATTCCAGGTGCAGGACTAAACATTTGACTTTGTTGAACTTACAAGGTTCCTACCAGTCCAGTCCTCCAGTTTGCTGAAGCCGCTCTGCATTGATGGCTGCCTAGCCCTCCCACTTACTGAACATGCCCCCTACCTCCTCCAATATGGTGTTCTCGGCAAACTCACTGATCATACTTTCCATCCTATCATCCAGGACATTAATGAAAATGTTAAATAGAATCAGCTCCAATACTAATACCTGAGAAAATTCATTCAACAACACAGAGCCCCAAGACAAAAATTTTCAGCCCCTCTTACCTGTCTGTTGTGACAAACTCATTTTTTTCCCTCCCTGGGCTACCTTCTGATCCCTGGTAACATTTTCCCTTCTTCAGTTTGATCAGTGGACCTCTGCATATGGCTCCATAGCCTCATGTGGGACCTTTCAATAATCTAAATAAATAACACACCCTTTAATCTTGTTTTACTGCCTTGTTCAAAAACTGCAAGTGACAAACTTCCTATTCATTTGAACTTTTTGAGTTTTGGGGTTTGTTTGTTTGTTTGTTTTTGCCTTGGCTTTGAGGTTCAAAACAAGAATTTCCAGGCTTTTACTAGCTTTTAAAATCTACATATATTTTACCAATCTGCCAGGTACTAATGCAAGACTCCATTTGCACTTCACCACATTGTTCCATAACCTTCTTAAAAATATATGCTTTCCTCCAGTCACAGGAACCTGTGGTGCTCATTGGACAATGTGAACGTTTCTTTTAAGTAGCTCAATACCTATTTCCTAATCTGCCTCAGAACACTTTTCAAAGGCAGAATCTCCTTGATATTATCGCCTTTTAAGTCATCATCTTGTTCTAATGTTTCTTTAACTGCCGTTTTTTACCTCCAAGCTGCATCATTGCTACCAGGAAGTAGAAGGTAAGGAAGCAATATGTTTAGAGTAGGCAGATGCATATAAGTTGTGTAGCTTCTGAACAAAACTCTTTTCTTCCTTAAACCCACAAAGTCCAGGCTTCTGGGTACTGCTGTCTATGTTAGTTGGCTTTACATCATGTCCTCTCCAAGTAACATCTGCATCATTCTGTTTGGGTGCTGCAGCTTCTGCCCCTATTTGCTAATCATGAAAGACTAAAGTTCTGCAATTGTCAGGATTTCTGTTTGGCCCTGTCTTGAGCCTTTGTCTTATTTGTCACAGTGCTTTATGCCTTCCCTTGTTCTGCTCTTTCTGGTCACTTCTACACATGGCTCACTGTTATTTCAATATCCACAGATTTTTAAGTAGACCTTCCCATTTCACAACAGTCTCTTTTGCAATGGAACTTTTCTCTCTTAGCTTTCATCACATAAGAGCTGGTGGACAGCTACTCTAAACTACTCAACTGGTTACGTCTGTAGCCAATGGAGAGAGATGGGTGCTTCTAGAAAACAGCTTAACCATTCAGCTTCAAGAGATAAGCTGAAGATAGATGGGCTGAATCCCTCTATGGATTTCTCTTCCTGTCTCTTTGGAATATTAGAGAGAACCTAGACTAAGTGCTGTGACTGTTTCCCTTTACCCTGGTCACCTTTGCCATCCTGCTAGACCCTTGGAAATTGAGGTCATTATACTTTTGTCACTGTCAGTTGGTGACTTAGACTGTCTTTCCTAAAACTAAAATAAGATTACCCCTTTCTTGGTCTCATCTAATAAAAAAAGGGTGTCCTTTTCACCATCTTCTGCCCTCCCGGGACCCGACCCAGTCTTCTGCCCTCACCTGAGCCATCTCTGCTGTTCATTGGACCCCTCCATTCAACTCACTATCCTGGAAAGGACTAACCCAGGAAATAAGAAGATAAGTTTTCTTACATATTAATGAGGCAAAAGAACTCAGTGAAGGCTTTGTAATGTGTCAGGGGAGGAAAGGGGCAGAACAGTACAGCCAGAAGGGGAAGAGGAGGGTGAAGAGAGAGGGAGTAAGAGCTTTTCATTTTGGACAGTAACATGCTGTTAGACAGGGTCATCTGTCTCAGGTAATGCAGTCCACAGAGATCTGATTAAATCATTGCTTTAAACCTGATCCTGTTTGACCAGTTAATAAGTAATTAAAGTCCCCCATCGCTATCATATTATGCTCATTTTTCACTGCTTCTTTTCTTTTCTTATTGTGCATATAATCCCTTGATCCAGAAGCCTGTACAAGTTGGTTGGGGTTTATATGCATATCCATTCAGCTATATTTCCACCTTGTACTGGCTTGGTATCTTTGACTTCACCTATTGGCCTACAGATTTTTACCATTTCCACATAATTAGGCACCTCCATGTAAAAGTAGGGGAGGTTTCACCGTTTCAGTCATTTTTGCAGTGCAACACTACCAGGAGAGATGAGCTGGACAAGATGGGTCTTAGCTGATCTTTTCCATCTCTGGTTTCTAAGACTATTTTATTCGTTTGGTACCACTCATAAAAATTGCACAGATGTAACTTCAGAGAGGATCTGAGCTGTATTTCCAGAAGGTAATCACAACTGTATGTGAAAAGGATTCTCCAGGGATGTGAGCACTGTCTGCCTCTGCAAAAAAGGTTTTTATAGAGTCAGTGAGCAAATTGGGAAGAGCTTTTCTTTTCTAAAGAAAAGCTTTAAAAAAAAATAGAAAAAAGAAAACCCTTTAAAAATCTGTGTTTGTAGCTAAAAATATATACATTCTCTGAACACAAACATATACCATTTAGACTATTAGGGTCACAAGTGCTCAAAAATAGTCAAAACCAAAATCAGAGCAGTCTGCACATCTGTAATATTGTTTATAATATCACACAACCACACATATATATAACTATTTCCCCTCTCCCTATCCTCAGCTTTATGCCATTTAGCATCTCATCTCGTTCTTCCCTTTCCTTCTCTACCTTTTTCTTCTCTTACACAGTCACCATCACAGCCCTGTTCAGAACTAACTTTCGCATGGATTTCCCCTTTGATCTGCAAGAGCTGCCAGCATTTGCTGTAATAGGGTAAGTCCACAGGGACTCAGCTCCTTGCACTGTGAAGGCTATCAAGTGAGCTCTTCTAGGAATTCTTTTGCACAGCTCTTTACAGCATTTTGACCATCACTAGCAAGGCCTCTGCTTGTTGGGATTCTGCCTTAAGAAATGGTGCTGATGTAAAAGGATGGGTAAGGAAGGAAATGGGAGTAGTACCAAGGTGTACCCTATACCTTTTTCAGATATTAAGTTCTGGAGAGAAAAATCTAGCTCAGTCTATGTTCTAGGTATAGATTTATTCAATGGTCCTTTAACCATCTTGATGACATCCTCAGACGACCTGAACAAGCCAGTGTGGTCTTTTTGCTTGACAGTAGCTCTTTGCTTTACTTTGAGTTTATTTGCCCAGACCTTGAGGAGATGAGGTCTGTTACTGAAGGAGGAGAAGAGAAAGTGATGTTTCTGAGACTTCTGCTATGGAAAGGCCATCTCCTGGAAGAAATGCTCTGTCAGCCTGGGCTGAAGAATGGGAGGAATGGGTTGGAATAAGTTAAGATAAATTTGCATGTCTATTTTCTACCATTTTGGGGCAGCTCTGCATTAGAAACCAAGGCCAAGTCTTTTCTAGCTTTAGTATCTAGAAATTTATATGCAGTTTGTTAAGATCTGGGCAATCAGTCCATTCCAACCTGATGCTCCATTAGCAAGCAAAGGAAATCAGAGAAAACAAACTTCAAAGGATCTGGGAGGATGGGACAAAAGATTTAACTATGAAGTTGTCCTTTTACAAGGACAGAATGGTTATCCTTTCCAAAAGAGCTGCGTACCACAGAGGCACTGGCAAAAATAGCTGAATAGTAATCTACTACATCTGTGGAGAAAATTTTAGGAAATGAAGGAGCGGATTTGGGAAAAAATTTGAAGATAATTGGGAAATATTGGAGAAAAATCTGAGTTTGGAATTGCTGCTAGGAAAAGTCTTGGGTTAGGGTTGAAAGACTCCAGGGAAATTAATGCAGAACAATAGTGAGGTGAATACATTGTAGGAAAAAATACTTGTGCCAGCATGGTGAATATATTGTTAGGGAATCTGGCTCCAAGACTAGAAATATAGTTCAAGTTTTCCAGCTCCTTTGGATTTTCCAGCTCCTTTTGGGAGGCTGCTCACCCATTCATTTACTTGGTCTGTTGAACTCAAGGGGGATTTTTGAAGTCTTCAAATACATTGAAAATCTATCAATATCCAGGAGCTTTTGCTAATCATATTTATCCTCTTTGGTCTCCTTCTCCTTAAATAGACTTGCATACTTTCACTTGCTTGCTGAACATGAGGGAATCTAATTGTTTAAACAGGCAAGAAAAAAGACAATGATTTTGATTTACAACTGATAAAATGCAAAACTTGTTGTCATTGTTTTTTGAACTAAGTTGGTATAGCGGTTTTTTGTGGTGCTGCACATGACTAGGAAAGGAGTGTATTGTATGATGGATCTGAAATACTTTCAAAGGCCGGGGAGACCAATGTGATAAAAAAAAAAAAAAAAAAAAAAGATAGAGACTTGGAGAGAGTCTTGGAGAAAGACCTCATGCCAGCTTGGAATGCTACACATTCTCTTAATGTTCAGTCTCTCCTCAAAGCTGAACTCTCTTTCTATCCAGCTTACTTCTTCACTTTCAGGTATCACAAAAAGCTGAGCCAGCCCAAGCAGTACAGACAGGTAGATCTCATCTGTCTGTGCCAGCAAATGTTGATAATTTGGAAAACTTATACAGGAGAAGCACTTCTATTTTTTTTGGCAAATTGATAAGCAGGAAT